CTCAACTGAGAATTTAGACAGCCTGCAGCTTTTTCGAAGGTGGGAGGAAGCATAAAATGTTACATTAATAATGTAAAAAAAAAAAAAACACCAAAACACAACTTTGCAAAGAGATGTAAAAGGTGTATAATTACAAATAATCATGTTCCTATACTTTCACAGAAAGCAGGGAAATAAACACACTGCAAGATAAACACATAAGGTGTTCAGTCTCATGGGGAAAGAGGTAATGGCTCCAACAGAAAAAAAAAATAGCTACATTAAAGTTGTATATAACAATATGTTATGATTTCTTTAGTATCTGTTTTAATACTACATTAGAAAAGTACCTGATTAAAAGCCAAAAAAAAATGAAAACGTTCTCAGTTACATGGATGTGGCAATGCAGTCTGCAGCCACTATTTCTCAAATCTCACTACACAAGTTTACACCTTATAGGCCTTCTCTTTTACCCCTTTCAAAAGCAGCGTCTACAATCAAAGGAGACACATCAGCTAAATCCAGGGTTAAGGGTTCTGTACAGGATTTGGAAGATCAAGGCTATAGTCCCAACCAGTTACAGGCTGTTCATCACCTTGGTTAAATCAGTCCATGCAAGACCACAAAACAGACCTCAGTGCAAGATGTTCTTTAGAGTTCAAGCCCCTTCTCTGCCTGAGGACACATCAGCCTTGCTTCTCTCTAGGCTTAGTCTCTCCCTGGTCTACAATGCACAATGGAAACACAGATATTCATAGTAGCTCTAGATCTACCCAGAGACTCTGCACTCCCAAAAGGCTGCATGTGATTAACAAGCCCTGCAGGGACATGGTGCTACATGATTAAATATACTGAATAAAGCGCCTGCTCAGGGATCACAGTACAGACTTGCACATGCCTTCCCTTAAAGTTGTAATGCAAAAGAAAGTAGTTTCTACAAAACACACTACAAGAGGTAAATTGCCTTTCAGCTAATCAAAGCAACTCCCCACTTAAACCGAGATCCACATCCCCCCAAGGCAGGTACCAGATCTCCCTATATTGTGTAGGAGGTTCTCAGCCACTCAGCGCTGTGGATCCTGCTACCTGACAAAACCCTTCAACTCTTTTGTGCATCGTGACCACAGCATTCCCATACTTCCACTTACTACAGATATACCGGGAGATTCAAAGTTCGAGGCATACCGTTACTGTGGTAGCAGGAACTATACAAATACCTCACAGAGGATTTGGGTAGACCGGCTGCTAATTTGGGACCAGTGTCTCCAAGGAGGTTTTGGTATTTTTAAGTAATCAGCTACAGTAGGTAGCTGAATACCAATACAGGATTGATGATAACAACCACGCACAAACTGACATTTTCTTTTCTCCTCTATCATGGCAAGTTAACTACCAAAGCAGTAATCAAGCCTATATTTCTACATACATAAGAACTCCCACTGACATAAATATGAGTTTAGGGTGAGCTAGACATACATAAAAGTCATTCCTACTAATAGGCACATTTTGAGCTGTCAACAGTGATTTGAGCATAACACTAAGTAGTGTGAAGAGACAGCCATAATCATTCCATATTAATTCAACTCACAAGAAGATGAAGGTCAGGGGACAAAAAGCAAAGCAAAACCAAAACCAGTACTTGTCAGATGGAAAAGGACAAAAACAGTTGGAAAATAATTTTATTTTTCAGACTTCTAAGAAAATTTACAAACAATGATAGTGTAAAAAAGAAGAAACCCTATAAAAAAGGTTGACATTATTTCTCAAACTATAGCATCAAATAAAGTTACAGAGCAACAAGCGTACAGTCAAATTCTATTCATCAAATTAGTATTAGCTAAGTAGTTGAAAATGTAATAAGTCCAATAATAACTCTCTACAGCTTACTCAGAAACCCCATAACAATCCAACATTCTGAGCTTAAAATATACTTAAAATACACAAAGAATTCATCTCTGCAATCATCTATAGCACTGAAACCACCTAGGCAAAAATTACATAGCAAAGGCATACCTTGTGAAGTTTGTAAAGAAGGACATCTTGAGCACACTACAATAACATACAACAGAAAGCAAAACACCCTGCATGCTTGCTTATTAATCCCCAATGTCTAATATGAAATACAATATAGAAATAATAGAAGCAGTATTTAGTGACTTTCTTCATGCTGGTTCTATTCTTCATCCAGAGTGAAACAGAAAGGCTTCCTTGCCCTATTTTCTGTTTGAACCTTGGCACTTTCCCAGGGTATGTTCTCCCTATGTTCATCATCATCCTTGTTATTAGTGGGGCAGGTGGTTCTCAACCAAGTCAATCCCAGTCACGAACGCCACCATGCCTTCCACATATGCATGTCTTCATCCTGCAACCTCTCTCCAACTCTTCCCATGCTGAACTCCAGCACACACAGGCAACATGCTCAAATCTAACCTCAATTTGCCAAAGTTTACATACAGAGCAGAAAACAAACCAACGCTTATATCCTTTATTACTGCCATAGACTTTCCTTTACTCAGGTCACTCACTCACTTTAATTAGTAGGCATTTAAAAGCCATCAACACAATTTAATTAACAGCTTAACTTGAAATTGCAAAGGAAATCCAAACACTGGCACACTAAAGCCTTTTGAACATGAATTTGAATAAACGTGAAAACCTGGTGTCTTCATTAATCCATAAATCAACTCCTTCTGGCCCTAACTGCATCTTAAACATATTCTGTTCAGAGCATAAGGAATAAGAATTATTTTTTAGTTACAGCATGTGGATTTGTGCTTTCACTGAATTCATCATGAGAAAAGCCAAAGACGGTGTCCATTAAATACTGCTGAAGTAACTCATCTTGACAGTTCAGGACAATGTATCAAAAGGTTATTTTTTCTTTCAAAAGTAAAAACAAACCCATGAATCATTCCATTTAATGAGATTTCTTTCACAAATGCTTACAAATGGGTAGGGAAAAAAAAAGGATAAGAAGCAGATGTGCATATCTCATGCTAAAACAGGAGTTAGTAAGAGTGTTGCACCAGTGTTTCGCTCACCAAATTTGTTTAAATATTGACAGTTCCTGAAATTCTTGCCAACTGATATTATTAGGGCAACTAGAAACACCATGAAACTTGACAGCACTTTGCAATAAAAGATGTGGGTGTGTATGTTGTTGGGGTCAACAGGCAGTTAAAGAAGGAGTGGCATAATTTAGCCTTTAATGGCTTTGAAGATATACAATGGAATACTCACTTTCAGCTTCCTGTCTGCCACAGATGTCCAGGGTAAACTTTGATAAATTCATGCCTAAACTGACAATTCAGATCACTAGACCATGTGAGCTAACTGTACCTTAACTAATTCTTTCCTTGCTGCTTATAATGAAGCCATCTTGGAGCTTTCTGATCCCAGACCAGAGCCCTCCTAGGGATCAGTCTTGTGCATTTTTCCCAACTTCTCTCTAACTACAGGCAGCAGACAGAGGAAGCCAGCAGCAGATACACTGCTGTGCACCTCGCTGCCTGCACTGAAGAAAGAAGTGGGAGGCTGAACCTCAGGCTCTTGCATCCAACCAAGCTTTCAGAATTAGGCTAGAGGGCTAGTGAGGGCCTTTGGTGCTGATGGCTGGCAAGGATGGTCTCGGAAGAACACTGATCCTAGTGATCAGTGTAGACACAACTTTGGCCTGTCACACCGGTGCCTCCCTGCCTCCCAAATGCTGCAAGTACATGACAAAGTAACGTCCAAGATGCTGTTACAGAGGCTATACAAGCACCTTAGGCAGACAGCATTTTCTAGTTTTCAGACACGTGAAGACAGTCAATGATGCAAATGCATGAAATAGCTCGTGAGAAGAAAATAATCCCTCAAGTTTATGATTTTTTAATTTTTCTTTCATAACTTACTATACACTCAAGCCCTTTTCATAGTGATTTATGTAATCCCACATGCTCAATGAAAATGTACACACTTCAGTGACAATACTTAATTCCTCAAACAAAAGTCTCTCTTGATGAATCCCTACTTCACACATTCCTTTGACCACTCCATCTAACCTTTCCAGCCTTTCAACAGCTCACCAACACAAACAGCTTTACCTTCTTCTAGTTCAGCAAACACATTCACCAAAAAGGTCTTCTCCAGAATAGGTAAAACCAGAAATATTTTCTCCATGCAATGTACAACTAATGTATAAAGCCTACTGCCATAAAAAGCCAAGAATTTAGCAGTGCTCGAAAAGAACTTATAGGAATATCAGTCATAGTAACAGATACTGGCAAATGTGTTTAGAAAGGCATATGAATCTCCATGCTTCCAGTTTTCAGTCTTTATGTGACTGGTGATCAAAAATATTTTTTCCTGCAAATACACTGTCCTGGTAGTACACCACTAATCAGTTTTTGTACACCTCCTCTAAAGTATCTGTCACTAGCCAGTTATAAATATGATACTGGCTTAGTTGATCTGCTATGGATTGCCATGCTAACTTGACTATCTTCTCTTCCCCCCGTGAGAAGCTTCACTAATCTGGCTTCTTGTGCAAGACTGGCTCAAACTACAATGATACAGAAAAGAAAAACATCAATAAAATAAAAAATATGTATTGTGGTCACCTAAAGAGCAGCACATACTATTTGGCCTCCCTTCTTTCTTCTCTTGAAATACCAGCAGTAAGACAGATCAATGTCCTTCATGGTAAATTACTATATGACAAATTCAGCCCTCTCATGTGCCTGCTTGTAAAGCTTCTGTCTGTCACTGTCAGCCACTAACATACACCCAAAACCAAAATTGGCCAATTTAAAAGTAATGATTGATAGCTTATATTTTTCAGTGTTTTCTTGATCAGGCACAGATTTTGAGGAAACTGGGTGCTAAGCCTCTCAACTTGAGCATAAGCAACACAAAAGTTATTACCAATTCAAATTATAAAGGAAATAATAGTATTTATGACTTGCAACTTAAGTCATTTTAAATTAATCATGCTATATTAAGTAAGGCTTGTTAGCATCTGCTCAGTGTTAGGTATTTACCTTTAGTCCACCACAGATTGGACAGGCTGAAAAAAGAGCTCTGGTCATCCCAAGGTGGGGGCTACATGTGTCATAGGGGTCAGCTGAGGCCCCACTAGGTGGTGACAACTCACTACTTTTGGAGTCTGACACCTGTCCTTGTGGTTTTGTGTCTGACCACCTTGAAACAAAATCCACATATGTCCCATCACTCGAGTCCTTGATGCTTTCTGCGAGTACGGATGAAGGCCTCCCTCTGTCCTGGCTGTGCTCAGGTACCCTGCGTGCTTCCAGGTGTGGTAGTAGCAGTTTTGGGTCACTAGCACCTTGAGGTGACAGGGCCTGGTCCTTGGGTAGCATGGAATCTGCACTCTTCGGCTGCACATCTTTAGAAGCTGCCTGTAACAAACTCCTGGGTATATCATAAATATGTCTGAGAGAGCTGGGAACCTGATACTCTGATCCCACACCTCTCTGGGGCTCACTGTGAGGACAAGTACATAAACTCTGATCCGAAGGAAAGTTCAATGGCAAGCTTAGCAATGATCCAAACTCATCACCGTGGCAAATGTCCAAGCTCCCAGCATAGGAAGAGAAGCTTCCAGAGTAAGAAGAGTGACTACCAGTAGCTATTCCACTGTCAGAAGAGCTCTGACGACCTATTTCCTGTAGCTGTCTGGATCGGAGGGGCTTTGGAGGCGGTTTTGTGGTGCCACGTGCCCCTTCTGGAAGGGTCTTTTCTTCCCCAAGATGAATGCCCTTTGCAGCTGCCAGTCCATGACTCTCTTGAGAAGTGCTGGCTGAAGATTGTTCAGGCCAAATTGTCAACCTGCTCCCAACACTAACATCCGAGTGGCTGGTATCTGAAGATGAGCTTGAAAGACTTCTATCGTCTCCTAGAAAAGAAGAAAACACATCAACCTGTTTAAAACACAATTGACAGAAAGGACCCTGAGATTCCATATCTTTTTTGTAAGGGGAACCTCTGTCAGGAAGCCAGAATTCCTGCAATAATTCCTATCCCCACAGGAAAAATTAAATGCAAATAGTATGTTACCTTGCCATAACCCTACCACATTATGGAACCTAATGCATTCAGGGCTAAATTTTTAGAGTTTATGCACCAAGTTCTCCCCTTTTCAACCATATTTTACTTCCGTACAGTTAATTGGTTTTATTTTAGATATTCCTATCTCATATCACAAGGAACAGTCATAAAATCCCATGCTCAGAATACCTGAGGATGCTCTGAAGAAAACCTTGTTACTGGAACCCAAAGCCATACAAGACATTTCCGTGTTTCTATGTCATCTGAATTAACCAAATTATTATCTTGTTTGTACTTTTTTCTCTATTTAAATCTTATCTGAATGACATCAAAATGAATGTTAAAGAGACTGCAAAAATAAAATAATACTTAAGACCGTCCTGTTCTCTCCTGAGCTCTCCTACACTGTACTTCTTCATAATATCCATACCAAAATCCAACCATACATCACTGTAACAAACAAAAATGAGAATACTAGTATTATAAAAATGTTTACATATCTATATACAAAAAGATCTTACGTGATTCATTTATGCACATATTGCAAGAATTTTTTTTCTCACTGATACTTGGAAGAAGGACACTTTTACAGGTAACTACTGCTATCCAAGACAGAAGATGGAAGAAAAAGATTAAGCATTGGCATGAAAGGGCATAAGAACAACACACAAACATCACACAAACACATACACAAAACCAACCAAACAAGCAAAGAAACCCCACTTTCTTGTAGCGGCACACACAGTCCACAATGTTATTTCCTTCCTTCTTAATAAAACCAATGTGAAAACAAAGGCTGACAGCAGGGTCATTTTGTAGGTATTAATTTTAATTAACTTTATTAATTTTAAACCTTGGGCAATAAGTTGACAGATGGGGTAGAAAGAGGAAGGGTCCACTGCAAATTGTGACCTGAGCTTCTGGTATTACTAGGCTATTTCTATTCTCAGGTGTTGAGGGAAAAGTTTAGAACAATTCTCTTGCTCTTTGCGGAATAATTCTTGATATATACTATCACAAAATAGCAATGTTTATCCCGTGAAATCTAATCCTTTCTTTTCCCCCAGTGCCCACTGCATGATGCTGGCCTGTGACCCCTGCGTAAGTGTAACTCCTGAGATTAAATTATACAGCTGTCTAGATGGAAGGCATGAACTACAAAAATATTAGTGTAGTTCTCAGCAACATGTCCAGAAGAAGAAATACATTTGTTAAATAAGAGTTATTCTGTTTACAAAACCATACATTTTTATTGAAAAAATAAGATCATTGAATTTATTTGAAACCACTTCTCTTAGACAAATATTTTAGGCAATTATTTTAGGGGATCCCTCCCACAGTCTTGAAGAAAATGCTTTAAGTATGTAGAGCTAGCTACATGTTCTCCCAGGCAGTGACAGAACCTAGATGTCCAGATTCAGGCAAACGTCCTCCCACTAAACCTCCAGGAACAGTCGTCTTGTTGTAATATTTCCCATGAACACAAATATTTAATTTTCCAATGCAAAACTCAAATAACAGAATACGAAAATCTTACTCTAGGATTCCTCATTCTCTGAGGATTATAACATTCTTAGGAGAATCACGTTATAAATTCAAGTAATCTCAAGCAGAGAATATATACAAAGTTGGGCTACATGTTTTCTAACCAGAGTGACTGATTAAAAAAAAAAAAAAAAAAAAAGGCATGCTTCTCTATCAAGTCTCATTTGTTTTCCATCAACCTAGTCAAGTCTAGTAGTTATATGCTAACTAAGAAAAACCTCAAGAAGTCTCAGTGGAATTTTGTCACAAACCACATTACTCAGCACTGTCAAGATTAAAGTAGCCATGGACATGTATGGAAGCACATAATTAAGCTCCTGAGGATCTTCACAGGGCCATTTTTAGGCTTGTAGGCTTTAGAGTCAAGAGCAAAGCAGATGTTTTGAAGATCTAACTTCTGTTATTAAACAATTCAAATGGCAGTTCAGGGCATAGGCCCTTTTACAAATCCAGTGCTAGACACCAATTCTACTTTGACACATAAACAACTCCAGAAGGGACGTGCACAGATACCATCACAAAGAGCAAGAATAATAACACTTGGAACCAAAGCACAGGAGTCCTAGGTTTTACTACAAAAATCTGCTGTAAGCCTGATATGTGAACTACACAAGTCAGTTCACCTTGCAGGTTGGAGTGAGTCAAGTACTTAAGCAGATGTCAAACTTGACGCAGACTGTTCTTTTGACATTGCACATGCACAAAGTCAGTAGGATTCAGCATACTAAAGAATTTTTCTGTGTTAATAGTATTTGATCCAAAACTCGCTCTGCTCAGCTAAAAAACTCCAATCCACATCAATGGACTTCAGACAATGCTGTTAAAGAACTGCCTCACAAGCAACAGCAGCCAAATCAAATACCTTGACCGTTTCTCTATTATTTTTCTTTTAACCTCAGCGTCTCATAATTATATACATGTACATTTCTAAAACCTGGGAAAGAAGGAATACCATTTTTTTTTTTTTTAATTAAAGATTTTTCTTACCTCCACTGCCCTGGCGACTTGTATGGGACAGCAAGCTCAAGCGCTTTTCTAATTGCAAAGCTTCATGAGCCAATCTTTCTTCTGAGTAGGCTGGATTTGTACTTGGATCTTTAAAAAGGAACAGAAAATAAATAAATAAATAAGAAGAAACATGGAAAATATATAAAAAGAAGGGGAAAAAAAAGACATAGTCTTATGTTAGATACTTTGTTCTTATGATTGAGCTTCTACTACAGGAGAAGAAAAAAGCTGATCAGAAAATGTATGGGACAATCTACCTTCAAGCACATCCTGGAGAAATGCTACATAATAAGTTATAATTTTAAGTGTCAAAAACTTTCAGAGATTATACCCAATATCTGTAAGAGTTACCAACAGGGACAGAATGCAGAACAGCACAGCACCAAAGGCAATACCTACAAAGATAATTAGCATCCAGCAGGTCTAGAAGAGTTGAAAACTAATATGTGACCTCTAAAATGTCTCCTGACTTCACTGAACTCATTGGGAATTTTATCACCGAGAAAGACCAAATTTTTCACCCTACAAATTTACAAATCTACATCATAGACTCACAGTGATTAAACTATCTGATACCTTCCAATCCAGATCACCTGTTTACAAAGACATCACTCTCAAGCTTGATGTTCAAAAGGTCATTAAGTTCAGAAGTCAGAGATGAAATAAGCAACCTGCTGGCTCTCTATGTTTAATACAAGATGAGTCAAAATGGTAAAAACCACTACTAAAATATACTATAGGGGATTTTATGAGTTTTCCATTCCAGCTGAAATTACTTCACTGAAGAAGGCTCCTTCCATTCCAATAGAAAGACCAAAAGTTATACAGAATGTGGAAGAACTTTCGTCAGAAAAATAGACCAGTTTCCTCTGAACCATTTTGTTTCCAACCAGGCACAACAATACAGCCAGGTGCTGGAAATAATCATAACCATTATCCCAAGAGAAATAGTACAGATTTCTTCAAACAGCACTGAGGAGTGTGTCATGTTCAGCAGCTGCAAAAGATATGGTCTGCTAACTTGTTCATCATCAGAAATTTCAGTAGTTCTTACTAATTATATGGGGAAAGGAATTAATGACAGATAAAACAGATTAACTTTGCCACAACTGCTGCTTTTGTATATCTGATCAACTGGGTAGTAGTAGCACACCACAAAAACATTTAATCACTGAATCATTTAATAAGGGGGAAAAAAGGATGAAAAGGGCTACACATTGCTGTGGTTGAGTTAGTAAGGTAAAAAATGGTTGAAATGATGAAAGAAAAATATCTTTTTCATTCCAGGTCTTTCCGTTTTAAAAGACTTGGGTTTGATTTTGGCAACGCAACAGTCAAAGCAAGCTCACAATCAGGGGAAGGAGCATTTCCAGGTGAGCTGAAGCTCCATGGGAGTCCCTACACCTGAGAAATAAGCTGCCATATTTCTCCTCCCTAACTGCATTCACTTTCTGACCTGCCCTAGATAGATCCAAGTGTGTCACAGGAGCAGAAGTGACAATGCTGAACTTTCTTTCCCACGTAGAGGGGGTTTCCACCTTTAGCAGTCTGCAGTCTGGATGAGATTAGCAGGAAAAGCCAGACACACACAGAGTCCTTCTGTAACAGCATATGTTGGAAATCAAAGATGTTCTAACAGGAATAAGGCAACAATGCCTGTGACAAACAGGGTCTGTGACCTCTGTGTCTCCCAGCTCAAACAGTGCTTGATGTCAGTGCCTGACACCTTCCAAATTTAACTTTAAGAACAGAAAAGAGGACTGTTTGATATAGATTATTTCACTAGGTTTCCATTCCAATTTCCCCTGCAATACAACACATATTAAGCATTGACTAGTCAAACCTGTGTAACTGCTTACTCAAACGAAACCCCCAATGCTCCCATATGGACCTCTGCCAAAGGAAAATACAAGCTTTGGCCACCAGCACCTATGGTGCAACCCAGACAGGTCTATGCAAGGATCTGCGCAATGGCATACAGTGTTACATGCTGCTGCTTGAATCTATTTTTGAATGTCCTCTGCTCCAGTTACTCTGCTGTATCTAGTTAAATGCCCTTATGTCCAAAAAGGTTCAACAAAGATGTTCCACGAGCACTTTGAGTATAAAGTTGGCATAACAGATCAACAGATTAGTCAAACCAAGATGCAACAGACACTAACCCTTCCCACAGCAAAGAACTGCCAGTAGGAAAGATCATTCTACTTTCCTCAGAATAAGATTACTGGATAAATATAGATTTTCAGAATGTTACTAGGGCAAATACACAACTATTAGTTTTTTAGTGACTGATATCCCTCTTACAGACAGCAAAAGATATTAAAAAAACTGGTCAAGCAACTGATCTTGCAAAAATAGCCTATAATACAAGATGGGGAAGTAGGAGGGAAGTTGAAGCAAATCAGTAAGTTTGCATTTCACATGTTCAATTGCTTCTAGAAGCCAAATTCCGTATCAGCTACACAGCTACAGAACACAACAGGTTTCACCCAACAACATGAAATCTCTAGGCATACTGTCTGTCCAACAAGACTGATAATTTTTTGGTTAAACTTCCCCTTAAGGATTGTCTATATATAAAAGGGGTGTATATAAAATTGGGTTCATAGTTATGTGCTGTGCCCAGTTTTGTGGAAGATTGATTAGAAGAATCCTTTCTCAGTAAGTACTAGGAAATATCTAGACAAACAACTTCAAAACCTGCCAAACATATATAGACTTAAAGTCTTAGGCAGTTATTAAACAATAATTGTCCATCAGTCTTACTGAAGTCTTTGATTTGCCTTTAATCTTCTCTGCTAATAAGCAAGACTTCTATGGCAAACACACACAATACTATTCTCCAGGAGCAGTAGATTCTTATACCAGTATTTTTGGTTACAGTCTACCAAGCACTAATCAGGAGGTTTTGCTACAAGATTAGACTAAGGACTGAAGTCACTGGCAGCCAACTTTTAGAGACCAGTCCTTACTGGAGGGCATAACCTATGACCTCCTGTCATATGAGTGTAGAAATATGGCCTAAAAAATGGTAAAAACAAGGGTTTTTTCCAACTTTACTGTTGGATTTGTTGGCATCATCCTATGCCTTGTGCATGCACAATACAAAGCCTCTAAATAACTGTGTAGTAATTTGCCATTTTACTAACTTAGGAGGACAGAAGCAGCATGACCGGTACTGAGACAGCTGTCCAAGGAAGTTCACACAGCTTCTACCCATACAACATCCTACAGTAGCTCCAACAACTCTAAGAGCAATTAGTACCTTCATTTCCCAAACTCTAAACAAATGTGTCCTATAACGTGATTTACTGCCATGGAATCTAGGCAGTTAGATTCACTCAGGTCCTACAATTAAGGAAGTGTTTTACCATTTTCCAAACAAAAATGGATCCCTTGCTATGAAGAAAAATACTTTGTGTGAGGCAATCATTGAAATTTTCTTAAACACTGCTTTCGGGCAAAGGGAAAGGATTACATCAAATTTGGCTGGACTAAAAACGCCTCTGATGGAGATTTTATTTTTATATTACGTTGGTGGATATTCCTTAAAGCCACATCAGCTGCTCATCGTGGGAGATTTTGAATGCTTTGGTAACATACGAATGAAGTGTTACAGTAATTCAAAGCTCCAGGGTTGTTCAGTAAGCACCTGTCAGGAAAAAATGTATTGTATCAAGTTAAGTCAGCAGCTACCTAATATATGCTTGATTGTATGCATCTTTAAAATGCAACATTGGTTAATTACTTCATTAAACAAAGTTAGGTAAGTTAGGCTGAACATCTCTCCTTTCTTTCTTCCTTTGTAACTGTAGGCACATTTGCAAATCAGGCCTGGACCCTCACCTTCATGCTAACATCTCCACACCTTGTAAGATGTCTGGAGGAATGAAAAGATGTCCTAAAAGTTTGAGGAGGATCCACTTGGTACAGATACTGCAGAAGGCAGTCACAGAGCTGTCTTGCAACGGCCAAAGGTGTATCAAGCTTCAACAAAAAGAAAGAGCATCAGATAGATCCTCAGCAAGCAGCACTGCACACTCTCCAGTCAGTCACAAAGCAGCCTGAAAAAGCTTCCAAAATTAAGAGAGAGCATCAAGACTATCAACATTACACTTGGGGTCTTTCCAGCCTGCAGGACTAGACTGTCCAGTAGCCTTAGCCAGATTTAGAGAGTACTGATCTGCCCACTGGTCAAAGATATCACTGATCGGCTGTTGGGCCTTTGCTGTGTTCATGGTTGGCATTCAGGATGAATTTGCTAGTGAAAAGAAGGAATTCAAGTCACACCTGATAAACAAACATTTCTCAAATAATATGCATGCAAATTCAGTATAGATTATAAACCATGCAATCAGTGATTCATTACTCTGTCAATACCTAGACTTCTGTCAAGACAAGAACATAAAATCCTCTGGTCTGTTTTCTAAATATCTTCTCAAGAAAAAAAGTTGCAAGTTGCAAGTAGCCAATTACAGCAATTATCTTCCAACTTGTAGCTGGGGAAAACAAGCCACCCAAAGACATTCTGTCACTCATTTGAGTCCTTTATTTAAAACACTACACTGCCTAAAAACATCGACAGATACCTACACTACCTTTGTGTTCCCACTCAATGCCATATATTTTAAATTTGAGACCTGATCATGCAGCCTTTAACAAATCAAAACCTCCAGTCTGCTAATGGAGCTACCAATAGGGGTATTTTGGTTCAATTTTGCAAAATTAACGGACTCCCAAAATAAGTACCACATAGTAGTAAACTGTAAAACATCTAATGTTCTTTTCCAATTTATTTTGGATGTACACATAATAGAATTATTTTTATCATGAGATTATTCACATTCATTCGATACCCATTTCCAAAAAGTCACAGAATAATTCAGGTTGGAAGGGATCTCGAGAGTTCTCTAGTCTGACCTGCTGCTCAAAGCAGGTCAGCTATGAGACATTAGACCAGATTTTGATACTTTGCAATGGTCAGTCAAGTTTACGAGTTCCACTGCACAGCTTTTTCATTACATATTTTATAGATGACATAATAAAATACATACAGTAATCACATATCTATGTTATAAGATCACCAAGCTTTTAAGAAAGTAAGGTATATTTTTTAAAACTAGAGTCCTGTAAAGAAGATGTGAATATTGTACTTGAGCAAATGTCCCTTGCACATGCAGTTTACAAACTCCTTTTGGATACCGGGCAGTTTACATTTGTTTAAAGAATCACTATGGGAAGTAAAAGTAAGAAAACTGGTCATTTTCCAGTCCTCTTCAAACCAGTCTCTATCATTTCTTATTAATTTCATGCTAACATTTAAATATTTTAGCATTCCATTTAAACATATAGTTGAGCTGTTTGTACATGAAGCCACTGGCTTCATTCATTACCCTTTTTCCAAAGACAGACTAAGCAGATGTTGACTGCATCACGTCTATAGATTATGTTTGTTCCGAGGGCATTGGTGTCCAAGAACACTGTCAATGTTATATTTTTTTCACCACATTACATTCTTGTCTCTGTACAGCTGCCCTTTGTGTGTTTTCCTTTCTTGAAAATACCTAAGAGCTATTCAAGCATATTTCATGTTTAAGTTTGAGAAGTACAGGTGACAGCAAGAAGCCAAATTCAAACAGCAAACTGTGGAGAGAAGGCTGCTTCCTAGAAAAGCTTTTAAATTACACAAAAACAGAACATTGAACATATAAAAGCACAGCTGAGGCCGTGTAGCATTCTGCACTGCAGTAAATATGAATAATATTGACTAGATGTTTCTTGGTAGAATCCCCAATCTCGAAGTTTTGATCTAGTTACCTAAGGTATGCAGATGATTAATCTATTTCCTATCTAACCCTTTGAAAAGGTTGGGTGAATTTCAATGCTCTTGCCAGATACAGCATGCAGCTGGCAGAGACTTGACCTTTTCAAGCAATACAGTACATTCTGTGTAACAGCATACTTAACAAGGAAAATTAGTTTATGGATGAATCACTAGTATTGTACATGTGCATATGCCTTAAACAGCTCTGTGCAAGCTTCTGCATGGGATAATAAATGACGGAGAACATAAAAAATAAAAATCTTCTATGAAGGGATGTGTACGTAGGGGGTGACAACAAACTGGAAGAGACAAGGGTAAAGATACAGGGAAATGTAAGGTAGAGGGGTCAAAGTAGCTTGGAAAAGGGCTGCAGAGGAGTCTGCAAGAACATAAGCACAGTTCCCTACAGAACACTGCTCCTGTCCAGGAAAACAAGGTGAAATCGAGTGGCTGAGTACATCTTCACCTCATTTTAGCAGCAAGTCCAGCAAGCATAGAAGGCAAATGAAAAAGACCTCAGAAAAGAGGTCTTCCCCTACAAAAACCTCCAAGTCATCCCGAGGATACTCCACATCCACTTTTTGCACTTCAGTGAGGTCAGATCTCTTGAAGGAGGGAAGGGAACGTGTTATGTGACTATGTATAACAACCCACAAATGCTAGAGTTGATCACTAAGATGCAAAGGCAGATTTACTTCTACATGCCTCTAAAAAAAGATTTTTCAAAAAATGTGCCATCTAAAATTAAAATTAAAAAAACAATAATTAAAAAAAAGACAACAGAATAGTTGCTTGTCGGCTTAATTTTTCTGGACATAAATTTTTGTTAGATGAAAGACTTAGGAGTTGTATATGTGTAATACAGTTTTAGATATGCAGAAAAATATGAATTCAATAGTAAAGCTTTAAGTATCAGGACTGGTTTTTAGGTTTCTGTTGTTGTTTTTTTGTTGTTTGCTTTTTTTAACACTCCACTTAGTTGAATGCAAACACAGATCATCATACAAGAAGAATGAGGTTTTATTGCCCACTATTCTGCTTGATTATTTTATTTACTTCAGTGTTACAACTACGGGAAAGAAGAGATGAACTGAGCCTTGTGTCTACTGCATTTACTTTAACTAACTTTTCATAATTTGTTTTCACAAGTTTCACATCCAGTTCCAAACTTTTCCATCACATTTCCTTCCTGCAATTATCTTAATCATAAAACAGCAATAAAACCAACAAACACCTATTAACTGCCTAACACTTAAACAGAATCTCTAAGTATTTCCCACAAATCCCACCTCATCCTTCACCATTCTTGCAGCCTATTCCCACTATATCCCACTGCCAATTCACAGATATTTTTCTGCAGTCTCATTTCCACACTCTTGCCCTGTTTGACATAGTCATTCCAGCTCAATATTACATTTCTTCATCTGCTAAAGTCAAAAGGCAACAGGGCTTAGTATGATGCCACCTAATTTCCTCTCTGAACGTTACAGCACATGCAGCATTTACCATAAGACAGGAAAAGGAATTTAATCCTTGCACATCAGAAAAACTCAAGCAGCAAAACTGAAAAGTGATGTGGAGGCCTGACAAAGTTTTCTAAGGCTGGCAAGACTTAGTTTTAAGTGGTTTGAGTGAACTCAAAATGCTCTAGAAGTTAGTTTTCCATTAAACTATCAAAATAGTAATGCAGACATGGATCCAGGTTGAACTGTGTAAGTTTAAAACTAAAGGTTAGGGTTCGTTTCAATTCAAATTGCCATATTTCAGTACTGTTAAATAAGAGAAGGCTGAAGTTAGCAATACCACTAGAAATATGAATGAGCCAGAGCAGCAGGGGAAACTGGGTACATTCAACTGATAAATCTGTACTGTGACATTTCAGAATGAAAAACACTTTGCACTTTCTACACCCTTAGTGTTTGCAAGCTGTTCTTACAATCACAGCAATAAGTGCTAGACATAGCAAGTTCCTACTTTGCTTGGTTACTCTATACTTCCTATATTAACCTGGTAGGACTGGACGCAAACCAAAAGGGCCTTTCGTCGGGGAGATGCCACGGACGATACAGTCGAATAGAAAGCTGATCTGCTCTCCTTCAGCACAAGAAAGGAAAAAAACTCCAGCCCCTGCAAGAAAGCACAATATAAATATGTGTTTTTCACCTAGATACATTAGAAATAAATTTAACTGAAGCTATTTATAATATAGCAATCAAAAGAGTATTAAGTGCAAGCCATGAAAAGAAATCAACAAGACATGTTCTTCAGAGAAAAGAAATAAAAAGAAAAAATTCAGGTCAGCGCACACGCACTACATCACAAACATACACATAAATTCAATAGCTACCTAATCACTTATGCTAATTTTCTGAGATTCAGGCAATTAGAGCGATGCCAACATACAAGCCATACGCTCAACAGCTGTCTGGGTCTTTTATTCTTACTTAGCCCTAAAATTTTGTAGATCAAATCTTAGCTATGCAAGCGTCAGGGATACTTAAAATGTCTTCATCAAAATGAATCAAGTTAATTCTACTTTTACGCAATTTTAAGCAAGAGCAGCTTTTTATATCCCAATGAGTTAGGATTTGGTTATATTGCTAGATTATATCATACATTTTCCTAGACTAAGTCCTGTGTGTCTACTATTAACAGAATGTAACATGACTCCACAGGTTGTCATCAGATCTTTACCCTTTGCTCTATTCTGATATTTTGCTTTCCATTCATTAAGAATAGCCCCAAGCAAAATTAGAATGAGAATCACTAAGTAAACAAACAAGTTCTGAGTTGCATGATATGTAGCTACATGGACAACACACAAGACTGGAAGTGCTCCACAGAACATTTTATTTGAGAATTGTCAGTCCAAATATTACTCACATCAGGAAAAAAAAAAAAAAAAGTCTAGTTGACCTTTTTGATGATCTTAAAACATCAGGCAAAAGACCACCCCAGTAACCAGTGATTCAGGAAAAAAACCCACAATAACCAGATACAAAAGGAAATTAAATTAGTACACAGGCCTTGAAGAAGTTCTGCCAGTTCACCAGAGCCATGCACACTAGAAAACCACAATACCAAATCCTAGACCTGCAGTAGGGTTTTGCATATTACTTTCCTAGGGACTTGGGCCCCTAATCTGGACATAAGTTTGACTTCTGCATGTCTCTAGCCAATTCTGAGTCGCATACATATTTTTGCCAATTTTACTTAAAGCAGCAGAGCTAGTCTTGACCAGAATGCCTGCATCCCCATCACATTCCACACATATGCCATGTCCTGTCCAACAGGATATTCACATTTCACTTAAGCAATGGATACACTTTTGACTGCTTGACAAAGGGCTATAGGATTCAAACAAAGGGGATAATAAAGAGTGGACCACAAACCAAATTAACTATTTTAGTAAATTAGCTGTAGCCAGCAAGAAGTAAACTGACCACTCTAGGAAAAGCATATTCTGGTCCACACTCTTGTCATTCTCAGTTTATGTCACGTCTGAGTCTCTGCCTGCTCTGCTTAAATCTATTAAAGACAACATCGTTAACAGCATCTCTGCAACTTGATTTGTCGCTCCACCACATTTGTTCCTCTTCAGATCTTACTGACCAAAACTTCTCCAGCCAAAGAAACAGAAATCCTGTTCCTGGTAGAGTTTATTTCATTTGATGAACTGCTATAAATTCAACTGGAATTAGAATTCACTTGCTGGTAGAAGTTACATTTATATTTAAGGGCTGGCTTGCCAATCATTTCTAGAGACGAGGTCTCAAACATATTACTTGAAACTGAGGACAGACAAATTTTAAAACACTAAGCTATGTTTAAGCAACTGAAAAGATGAATACACAATAGCTCATGAAATGTAAATCAGAGTAAAGCCTACTTAACTCTGCACTTCTGTGGTACGGTTCTTTATTATTGTTTTTAAAAACAAGTTTGTCCCATGTTTCCTCATGGCACACACACACCCTGGCTTCAGTATCAAAGACCATCTAGGCGATTACAACACTAATCATGCAGTCTGACAGGTATGAAAGTTTCTGGTGGTGACTCACTGACAGTCTTCTCCCATTTCCCCTCCCCAAGAGATGCCAAAGAGTGAGAGAACTCTGTATTAAAGAGCTGGGTGAAGTACTTATTCAGGAATGATTTGAAATTCACCTCTTCCTTTCAGCTGCCTTCTCCTCCCCCCGCGGAGTAGAAGGAGCCTAGGGAAATCAGTTTGCCTGATCTTAGATGGTTTGACTCTTCCCCCGTGAACCACACTGATGCCAGAAGACATGCCTTTTTGGAGGGAGCAGGGCAGCACAAGGCTTTGCTGGACTCTGAACACATGACCTTCCCATCCCATGCACAATAAGTAAGCAGGACGTAGAGACAACATAACAGAGGACTTTCATATCTCAAGCACAGGGATATACTCCGCGGCTTGATAATTTGGCAGAATCCTACGCATCCATGTTGCCATTGAGGAAAACAAGATTTCTCAAATATTTCTGTACATAAAGAGTACATCTGGACACTTTGTTCTTTTATCTCTATTGTCAAGAATCTTACTTAAACTCCTAAGAGGCTCAACAAGCCTTTGACTTTAATGGAAATAAAAAAGTAAATGTGTGCACGTGAGTTAGCTGCTTAACTCAAAGGATGATTTCTGCAAAGAGCTATCACGCATTTGGAAATCTCAAAACCAAACGTGGTGGCCTTTATATAACTAGTGCAAACAGCGTACGCACGTGTGCATGTGGATACAAATCCACATATACACATGTGTAAAGTACTTCTTTGTAGATTCTATTATTCACATGATCACCATAATCACTGATCGACTCTCACAGGAAACGTTTTCTTTCTTGTTTTGCTAGGTAGAACTAGATTGAAAGACAAGAAGTCTGGGGGTCCTTGCAAAACACATCAGGTGAGACGAATGAATAGGTAAGGCTTAACCAAGATATGTTTTAAAAGCATACGTAAAAACCAGCAATTAATTTCTTTCCTGCTTTCTTGAGAAAGCTGAGAAATTCCCTACTAGAAATTACACATCTCAGTCATGTGTTGGAACAGACTTGGTGCACAAGCATTTGGAAGCCGAGGAATATGTGGTATGCATCACTGTAATACCGTGCAGCTGTTTACTAGACTGAAGAGCTCACTCACTCACTCACTCTCTCTCTCTCCATGGGGTAGGAGACTGTGAAAAGCAGCCTGCAACCACTTGCACAAGGCTGAAACACTAAGCCAGTGCTCTGTGGCAGTTATCAGTAAAGCATTGTACAGTCTCCCAAACGTTCAAGAGAAGTTGCCAATTTCATAAAACTTCCAGGTATTATTAAATCTTGCTAATGTTTGATTTTAATTCATCACATTGAAAAAGCAAACCCATGGGCAAACGCGCCCTGAAAATGCACAATAACCAAAAATTACTTAAATCTCAGTACTGTGTGTGAAAGCAGGGAGGAAGAGTCAGTCCCTTCCCATGAATTATTACTCCTAGCAGGTGCCAGTCAATGCTAGAGCCAGAAGTCTTTTAGCTACCCGACAGGTATGAACCATGGTAGTTCAGTTCATGGCAATCATCATGTTGTCCAACCAGCATGTCTCAATCCTGGCCTTGAGCAACCCCCTTTAGAAGGTATCTCAGGCTGCATGCATGGCTCAGGCTTCTCTTCTCTCTGGTGAAAATGACAACAGGTGTTCCTATTATCGCCAACTAAGGCACGGGCATGACTACTAAAAAGAAGATAAGAATGTTTGTTGTCTGCAGTAGGCCTAAGTAGGAGACAGCAACAGAACAATATCTGCACATAAAAAGAAGTTTTAATCTACGCAACCCAGAATATTTAAAGAAATTCCAGATGTTGCCCCAGTTCAACCACCTCTATTGCTTCTAATTTTCAAATAAATTCCCCCCTCCTCTTCTCCTTTGACCCTTCCAGATATGCTGGTAGCCACTTCCACTATTTCAGAATGATTTTTAAGAGCCACTTGCAGAAGTCTTAGAAAGTAAGAAGGGAAGGAGCACCTAATTTCATCAAAACATCAAAAAGATCACAGAAATACTGCTTATCCTGCAACTAGCAGCAGCAGTATCATTTGTCCTTTCAAAGGGCACCAAGGGTCCTACAAATTCCTCTTTTCTAGGACATGCTGTCAGAAAACATGAGGCAGCTTCAAACTAGGCTCTGGAAACTAATCCTGAAGTACTTGACCATTGGAGAGCCTGAATTCTCACAGCACTGACATGGCCTTTTAATACCCTACCCTCCAAGTCAAGGTTCTCCTGGCAACTGGTCATTTTAATCAGTGCACACTAATTGAGCTAGCAACTTAGGAAAGTAAGAGGCTCCTTTTTTCCAGCCTGTTTCACTAATGTGTTCAGTTTTGGGCCCCTCGCTACAAGAAGGACATTGAGGTGCTGGAGCGTGCTCAGAGAAGGGCAATGAAGCTGCTGAAGAGTCTAGAGCACAAGTCCTGTGAGGAGCGGCTGAGGGAACTGGGGTTGTTTAGTCTGGAGAAAAGAAGACTCAGGGGAGCCCTTATTGCTCTCTACAACTACCTGAAAGGAGGCTGTAGCGAGGTGGGGGTCGGTCTCTTTTCCCAAGTAACAAGTGATAGGACAAGAGGAAACAGCCTCAAGTTGTGCCAGGGGAGGTTTAGGTTGGATATTAGGTAAAATTTCTTCACTAAAATGTTTGTCAAGCACTGGCACAGGCTGCCCAGGGAAGTGGTGGAGTCCCCATCCCCAGAGGTATTTAAAAGACAGGTAGATGTGGCACTTGGGGACTTGGCGGTATTAGGTTTGTGGTTGGACTCAATGATCTTAAAGGTCTATTCCAACCTAAATGATTCTAAGTAAACCTCTCAATTGACTCCTAGGCCCAGATGCCTTTTTTTTTTTTTTTTTTTTTCCTTCTCCTCTCTTCACAAATGGTATGTGTGATTGAGTTTCAGCTACAGAGAGTCTGGGGCAGGGGAAGCCATAGAGATTAACTTATTTGTGGATGTCAGAAGGAGACGAAAGGATTTTCTAATCTCTAGCAGTACAATTGTGATATTAAGAACAAGAGAAGTTCAGAATGTAAATACTCTTTTTCCTATTTAAGAATAAACTGATGTTATCC